CCCCAAAACCCCAAAACCCCAAAACCCCAAAACCCCAGAGAGTTGAAGGATAATTGAAGGAAGTTCATTGGTTAGCATCCATCGTTTCTGATATAGTCTGGATACTCTGATTCACAGTGCTCATTCATGTGGCTGTACATGTCAATGCTTGAATACCCATTCAACTCCATTCTGTACTTGCCCAAAATTTGGCAGTATGGCAGAGTTGGGTCAGCGCTCTTGCATTTCTCTGAAATGGCAGCTGTGGTGTTGAACACATTGAGTTGGTACACATCCTTGGGAGTGAACTCAACAGCGTTGATTTCGAGATCACCAAAGATTCCGGCAGCTTTCCAGACAGCAACAACAAAGCAACTGCAGACATAGCTGTAGCCATCAGAATACATCCAGCCATCAAGTTCTGGTTGAGCCATGAGTTCGAGAATGGTGGTATTTCTTAGGGCAGCTTCAGCTACTACTTCTCTGAAGTTTAATCCCTTTGTGTTAAGTCTAAAATTCATTGCTTGCAGGAAGAAAGTATCAATGGTTTTAGGCATAATTTCTCCATACATTTCTAATGCAACTGGTAAGAACTCTTTTGGTATGGTTGGAGGAATATTTTTATCAACTGTATCAATCCAGGAGAACAAGAAGTTATGATATCCATATGGCATGCCTTCAACAGATTCAAAGAACTCCAAAGCGGCAGTATTATTGAACTTTGCTCTATATTCATCTTTTAGAGGCAAGATTGCAACAATAAAGTCACAATTCCTAGCCCACTCGACCCACTGTTTATAAGTATTTCTCTGAATTTTATGTTTGGGCCAATACCAAGCATCTTGGGATTCAATAACATGAAGTTCTCCGTCAATCCAAAGTGCCATTGTTGAATGACCAACTCTTCCTCCAGTTCCCCACATGATAATTTCATCAAGTCCATCTAACCTAGTTATAGCTAAGAAGTCACCATCATGGATTTCAGATTCGTCAAGGTCAACATCAGTTATTTCTCTTTTTTCCATCTCCCAGCCAATAGCTTCTTTGACAAAGTGAACGTTTGCTTTTTCCATATATTCTGGCACATGGGATCCTATGACTGGCCACTTTGGTTTATCTCCAAGTCCTCCCACAAAGAGCTTCAGAGTGTTGAATACAGAGATGAAGCTATCCATAACTCCGTCACAGAAAAGATACATCCTTAGCCCTGCAAGATTCAGGTCGATAATATCTTCTTGATCAAGATTCTTCAAGGTCAAGTGATGAGTTCTTTCCAAAAATAGATATTCAACATGGTGTCTCAGTGTTGTAGATAGGAATAAAGCTTCTTTACAGAAAGTACTCTTCTTTTTCTTAGCTTCAATTGATACTCTTACTGTATCATCTGAGAGGTGTTTCATTGTAAAGGCCATTTCCTTAAAACAAGTACCCTCATATTCGACAGTTGTTTCATCAGTCATGAGAGAGCCTACATAGACAGGCAGGAATTGAAAATCTTCTCTAGGGCCCCAGCTCTTATCCTGGCATTGATAAATGGTACCTTTAACATTCTTTTCCATATGAACCTTTGCTTGTTGGAGGCTATCCATTAGAAAGTCAGATCTAGAGAGGTCGTCATGATATAAGCTATCATCTGAGAAGTAGACTTCTTTTTCAACTATGTCATCATATTCATGGGTAACTTCAAGAGATCCAAATTTGTTCGTAGTGATATCTCTACCAGAGCCAAAGTAGGCTGAAACAATTATCAGGACAATGATGCAACCTATTCTCATCTTTTATTTTATAAAATTTTACCTTGTGGTCAATGGTATTATCAAATTCAGGGGTTTTGGGGTTTTGGGGTTTTGGGGTTTTGGGGTTTTGGGG